TGGAGATTTAAATGCACATAGCAATCTATGGGATGACTCTTGCTGCGATGCTCGAGATAGCCTGATTGAACGGTTCCTTTTTACTTCTGGCGCGTGTCTTCTAAATCGGAGAGAGCCCACATACTACTGCCTCGCCAACAATACCCACTCATTAATAGACCTCAGTATTGTCTCTCCATCCCTCCTTCCTTTACTGACATGGAACGTCATCAATAATTCTTACGGAAGTGACGACTTTCCGGTAATGCTAGGCACACCCATATCAAATGAATATCGCCCACAGGTCCCCAGATGGATCACTGACAAAGCTGATTGGGAGCAGTTCTCGCAGATTACTCACATAAGTTGGACTGACCTATCTAGTTTAAACATAGATGCAGCTGTATGATACTTTTCAGCTTTTCTGACCGACGCTGCGATGAAATGCATCCCGCAAACTTCTGGACTGCCTGGTAAGCGACGTGTCCCATGGTGAAACACTGAATGTCGCAATGCACACAAACAACAAAACAAAGCGTGGCGGTTGCTACAGGACTCCCTGACAGCAGAGAATTTTGAATAAAAAAATTAAGTCCCAAGGCAGCAGAACGCGCCGTCAGGCTAGAAGAGAAAGTTGGCATAAGTTTTTATCAGGCATCACTTCATATACACAAGAAACTAAAGTCTGGAACATGGTGTGCAAGGTAGCAGGACGACACGCATCTTCACTGCCTCTCGTAGACACACAAGGGGACACCTTGGAAGACTAGGCAAACTTCCTCGATGCCCACTTCGAAGAGGTGTCCAGCTCGTCGCATTATACTGCAGCTTTTCAACGACACAAAATTGAAAAATCGAAAAAAAGAAACTACAGCAAAAATCTTCTAAACATGAGTCCTAAAACAACCCTTTCTGTTTGGCCGTGTTAGAAGCATCGCTGTATGTCTGCAATAAATCAGCTCCAGGTTTGGATCCGTATAGTATACGAAATATTAAAACAACTAGCCTCTTAAATGCAAAGAACCCTGCTTTCCCTGTATAACGCTATTTGGTTTTCCGGTGAAATCCCCTCTGCCTGGAAAGAAGCCATTATTATTCCTATTTTAAAGCAAAGCAAGGATCAATATTCTGTTAGTAGTTGCAGGCCAATCGCACTTACAAGTTGCATGTGTAAACTTTTTGAAAAAACGATAAATCGCCGACTTGTACATTACCTTGAAACAAGCAATCTGCTCGACCCATTCCAATGCGGCTTTTGAGAGGGTAGATGCACCACTGACCACCTGGTACGTATCGAGGCACAGATCCGTGACGCCTTTGTTCACAAACAATACTTTCTGTGTTCCTCTATATCGAAAAAGCCTACAATAAGACATGGAGGAGCGGAATATTAAGAGACCTGTCCAATCTTGGTGTTTGTGGCAGGATGTTTACTATTATCGAAAGCTACTTGTCGCCCACCACGGCGGTCTAGTGGCTAAGGTACTCGGATGCTGACCCACAGGTCGCGGGTTTGAATCCCGGCTGTGGCGGCTGCATTTCCAATGGAGGTGGAAACGTTGTAGGCCCGTGTACTTAGATTTGGGTGCACGTTAAAGAACCCCAGGTGGTCAAAATTTCCGGAGCCCTCCACTACGGCGCCTCTCATAATCGTATCGTGGTTTTGGGGCATTAAACTCCATATATCATTCAATCAAGCGAAAGTTACTTGTCCAATCTTACATTCCGTGTCAGAGTGGGCAGTGTTCTTTCCCGAACATTTGTCCAAGAAACTAGGAGTACCGCAAGTTGGTGTACTTAGTTGTACTCGCTTTATTGTCAAAATGAATTCTTTGCGTCTTTCTATCCCACAAGATATGTTTTACTGTACATATGTTGATGACGTCGAGCTTGGATTTAAGTCTTGTGACCTGGCAATTTGTGAGCGGCAGGTTCAGTTTGGCTTGAACAAGGTCTCCAGATGGGCTGAGGAAAACGGATTCTGATTAAACCCCCAGAAAAGCACGTGTCTTGTTCTCTAGAAAAAAGAGGCAGTCACCCCGACCTTGACATTGAATTCCATGGTTAACGCCTGTCTGTTAATGCCGAATACAAATTCTTAGGCCTAATTTTTAACACCAAGCTAACCTTCGTACCACACATTAGGTATCTAAAAAACAAGTGCATCAGAACCATGCATGTTCTGAAAGTGCTGTCACGCACTACGTGGGAGAGTGACAAGAAGTGTCTAATGAATTTGTATAAAAGCCTCGTGCGTACCCGCCTAGAATATGGGGCAATAGCATACCAGTTTGCGATACCCACCGCCCTAAAGATGCTTGACCCTATTCACCACCTAGGCATTCGCTTCTCTACAGGTGCCTTTCGCACTAGCCCCGTTGAAAAGCTGTACGTGTAATCGAACAATAGGTCACTGCACCTACAGAGATGTTACATGTCTTTTCTATACTATCTCAAAGTGAAGGCAGACAAGGACCACCCTTCACATTTCACAATTGATGGCACGTCTACTTCTGTTCTGTTTGAAAACTGTCTATCTTTGAGACAACCCTATTCACTACGTGTGAGGGGCCTTTTTGAGGAAACCGGTGTGTTGCTCGAATATCCTCTGATAGCTCCCGCAGCATGCCCGACACCATGGCGGTGGCAATTGATAGATTGTGATGTGTTTTTTTTAGAGATTGCAAAGCATGCACTCATTGCACATATCTGCACATACTTCCTAGAACTACAACAAAAGTACACATGCCCTGAGTTCTTTACAGATGCATCAAAGTCCAACACTTCTGTTTCACATGCAGCCATTGGCCCATCCTTCTCAGATACTGGCGTCCTGCATCATGATGCAAGCATTTTTACTGGAGAAGCCTACGCAATACTTGCAGCTGTTAACACATTGCACATATAAAACTACAAAAAGCGGTAATATACACGGATTCTCTGAGTGTAGTGAAAGTCTTGAAAACACTTAAAAAACGTAAAAACCCAGTTCTTGAGTCCTTTTATTCACTCTTATGCACTGTCTACTCATCTGCTGGGTGCTGGGCGCCGTCTGCTGGGTGCGGGGCACCGTGAGATGCAGTGAAACGTTTTTGCAGATCAGCTGGCTGCATCCGCCAGCAATGATGCCGCTAGTGCATCAATACCAATCCCTGCACTTTAGATGAAACCTTTCCCGAAATGAAAGCTCAGAGGTTATTGGCAAAACATGTGGAATAGACACACAAGTAATAAACTACATGTTATTAAGCCACAACTTGGTCATTGGCCGCCACTATCAAAATCGCGACGCACAGAAATAAAACTTACAAGGATAAGAACAGGGCATACATACTCTACACATTCATATATTCTAGACCGAATATATGAATGTGTAGAGTGATCCACCATTGTGGATCACTCCATTGATCCACCATGTGCCGATGATCCACCATTGTGTGCGAGATGTGGAGAACCACTTACAGTTCTCCACATCCTCGTCCAGTGTAACGAGTTGGACGCACTAAGAAAAAAGCACTTTTTACTGCCCTACCGACAGCAGCTCCCACTACACCCTGGGATGCTTATCGGTAGGGATCAGATTTGTAAAATTCACTCATAGTTTACGTTTTTAAATGATGTACATAGTTTTCACTGCATATTTCAAGGTGATCTATAGCAGGACCTGTGGTGTCTACATCCCCGCCATACTCTTATTATCATGACCTTTCGACGTTCACTCTCACTGCACATATTTCACGCCACTGTCATGATTTTAATACTTACATTTCTACCCGCATTAGCGCGAGGAATTTTAAGGTCCCTTTACAGCCACGCGTCATATCATTGTTCATATCTCTAGTCTATCGAAATGGCGCTCTTTGGCCATCAGTTGGCCCTTGCGCCATTAAAAAACACTCAGTATCATCATCATCTACGCTTTAACACTTCAAGCTTCACAAAATGTGGCATGACGACTTCTCCTCAGGATTCCTTCCTCCTTGGTTCGGCCTCAATATTTCAATTATAAGTCACAGTGGGGCTATCTCATGCAAAGAAATTACGAGGAAAGGGATCACAGGTTTGCGCTTCCCATGACCCATTCTCTCATTATTTTTTTGTGCCAAATAGCCCCAACTGTGGCTTCTAATTGAAAATAAACCGACTAGCCCAACAATGTCCCCTTTAGGTTTTAGATGACCTCAAGTGCAGCTTTGATCTGCGCTTTCGTAACAGCCAGCTGCGCCGTCCCTTATTGGTCCATTCACGCGTGTCCCAAAAAGACATACACGAGTTCTTTTCACATAGTAAATGTTTTGTGCGTGTATTTTGTTTTGAAAACAGATTTAGCAAGTTCTTTTTTTTTATGATACAAATATTTTTGCTCCTTCTTCGTGATTCGCCCCTGCTAGTTAGAAAACTGCACCCTCGTAGTGTGTAGTGTGTTTGGCCACTCTCAACGACACTGATGTTTGTAAGGTTGTTCCATTTGTAAGGTCGTTCCAAAGCCCCGCCCCCCTTTTTTTCATTGTGGAAATCTCTTTGGTTCAGAATCCTTGAACTTGGCAGGCATATAATAGATCTGTTCGATTCGCCTGCATCACAGGGACCTGTTCACAAGGTGCTGCATCTTGCCATTTGTTTCATTCGTGCTGCACTGATGACCTCTGTACCCTACCATTTTTTTTTTGAAAGGTGCAGAATAGGTGCAGCACTGGTTCATGATTTTCCTGCACTTCCTATGCTGACGGTGCCGGCTTGGTGCAGACGCACGTGCAACTAAGCAGACTACGCAGCACTTAGGCATAGGCGCCGTACCCACCTCTACTAGCGTGGTGTATTTTGCCTAGATGTTTGTGCCTCGTAAACTGTCTGCATGTGCAGTTTTGCCATTGGTCAGTGTTACTCGAACAGTGTAATTCAGGCAAACAAAAAAAAGGCAGGGCTCTGGTGCAGCTGAACAAAATAAGAACAAGCATTCGCCCCTATAATCCAGCGAAGGCAGTAGTATGTTTGCACTAAAGTTCTGTCGCTACTTGCAGTCTTTGCTGACCGTGAAGAGCATGAGCCCAGCTATGGTGTTCCTCGTCAGCCTCCTGCGTGGCCTGGAAGAGCTGCACTTGGGTGACTGTGTCAACTGGAGCGAAATAGTAAGCTCAGAGATTATTGTAACGTGCACTTCATGAACACACTTTAGTGAAATAAAGTTGATTGGCCCTTGCAGCTTGTGCCCAAGCAGCTAAGTGAGTGTCTGCCTAAGTTGTAGAGAATAGTCTTCTTCCTTGAATTCTATGCCACTTCCCTTTCTTTTTTTTTTTTCATCTTGTGTATGACTCGTGGGCAGCTATGAAGGCCTGGATCATGCAGACACATGCTAACTGCAGCATTTTTACCTAGATCGCGTAGGAAATAACTAGAGGGTATATTCTTTAAAAACGTCTTGTGTCAGTATTCTTTCTAGCATTATTCAGACATAAATGACAGAAGTTATCAGCTCTGCTATTGACTTTTTCTTTTTCCCAAGGATTGTGAATGTGTCAACGCCGGAGAATAGAAATGACTTGATCATGGCTCACATAAATTTCTGTATGAATGATACGAATGTTCGATTTTGCTCTGGTCTCAGCGAAGGCCCATTAGCCTGCAATGTTCTGGGGTACAGGTTACAATTCTTGTGAACTGATTTGTACTCTGCATTGTTTCATACAAACCTGAGCTACTGCACAAATATGAACAGGTGCTGTCATGTAATATGGGGTAATTATGCATGGATGTGGGAACCCTAATGCGAGAATCTGCAAGGCATTACGTCCCTCGAATTATTGGGTGCATGCTCTGCTGTACTCACATGTGCTCTACACACAAATCTATGCAGCTTTGTGCGACATTTAAAAATATCTGATCTTCTATGGGCACATTCTAATCAAAAGCTAAATAACTGTATTTCATCATACTTTTTATTGTATTGGAGCTGGCTATATAAAAGTCTAATTGTATTTCTGAATTAGCAAGTGTTTAACGTCACTTAACTCTTTTGTTGCCACACCTGTTGAAATCGATCACTGGTGATAGATGCTTTGAATGATTGATTTTAGCATGTTTGATACATTTCTCGCGCACCCAGTACTTTCTGGTAGTTAGTCCAGTCACTAAATTTTCCGAATCAATTTAAACTTGGCCGTTTTAGCAGCATAGTGATTTTTGACAGACCTTGGCGCGAACCAATGTGCGTGTGTTGTGGGGAAAATGCACCTGGCTGGCGAACTTGACAGAAGTTCTTGCCCGTCGTGGTTGTGGTACAGTAACATGTTATGCTACAGTAACATCAAAGTTCTGTAATCAAAAAAACCTTTGCAAGTTAAATATCAAAATAAGGTATTCGCTTTGTAATCTTATAGTGTTGGGAAGTAATAATTGCTATAAATTTATGCCAGCTATTCAGTGTTTTGCGTCAGCCTGAGACATGTGCAGCCGTTCCTGGGTTTGTTTTATTTATTGCCTCAAGTTGTCTTTTCCGCCAAAAGCCTGTAGCTGCTGACGTTTGTGTACAATCTTAAAGCTACTCAGGTCACGAGCGAGGTCCACATGTCGCTGGGGTGCGATGTGCTGGTGCCGGCTGCAGAGCTTTTCCCCACAACAAAAAGGCCACGGAAGAACATCTTGGCCCGGACTACGAAGCTGTGCGAGATGTTTTAAAACTGCATGAAATATTGTTTTTTTAAATATGATGTGCAAAAACGGGAAGAAATATGCTTGGATGCATATCTTGGAACGCCAATCTATGCGGAGTGAGCTGGCTCATGGAGAGAGGAGATGCTGGACGAAATAGGGTTCATTGACCATATCAGCATTCACTTCGATTAGCATTCACTTCGTGGGCATCCATCCTATTTACTGAGAAAAGTGTACGAGTTCACTTGTGTCATATGAAAAACCATGCAATGCTTCACCGCATGCCACGAGCAATGTAGCAGCACCTCGGTTTGAATTTGCTTTGTCTATGTGAATAGAAACATTTTCTACAAGATTTATTATCTTTATACCGTTCTTGGGCGATTTATCTTTTAAATGTATATTTTGAATTTTCTTTGTTTTGAATATTTTTGTATATATAGTGTTTTTTATTGCACTGTTTACCATCTGGCTATCAAAAATTACACCCTTTCACATTTTCATTAATTTCAAAATATTTTTGTTGCTCTACGACATATTGCTACTGTATGAGTCGAGCTGTGTTATGTGCCAGTGATGTGGATGAGGAAGACGGGATTGTCTTGTGTGGCCTGAGGACTCCATCTTTACTTATGATTGCCTAAACTCATCCTCTCACTGTAAATGAACCCAGTCACCCTTTGTTCAACGGTAACAGATTTGTGGTGGAGGTGTGGGGTAATTAACCAAGCAACCTGATTCTTCAAGCGCCGGATCTACGACGAAGCCACCACATTGCTGGACTGCCCCTCTTACCACTGGCAGCTTAGATGTCTCACTGCAAAGAAGGGAACCTGATCCCTGCAGCTGCAGACCTTTCACCAGTCCCAACAGACCCGCTAGTGCCAAGGTTCAGGCACGGCTGGTGCCTGATTACAACAGGATCTGATAGTGCCTCGCACATTCGGTGGCATATAGGGCGAGGATGTGGACACCTGGCTCAAACTCTACAAATGGGTGAGTAAAATACTACCAGTGGGACGCAGCGACCAAGCTGACTAATGTAGTATTTTCCTTAGTAGGCACAGTGCTCGTGTGGTATAAGAACCATGAAGATGCCGTGACATCATGGGATCGCTTCATTTCTGAAATAGAGGCATGCTTAGGAGACTTCGTATCCAAGAAGAAGCAAGCCGAACAAACATTATTGCAGAGAGTTCAGATTCCAGAAGAGACGTGCACAACCTATATTGTGGTGATCTTGAAACTTTGCAAGATTGCCAACCCTTCTATTTCAGTGGAAGACAAAGTTGGCCACCTGTTAAAGGGAATTGCTGAGGATGTATATCAGTTCCTCATCAGCAAAGAGAGCCTCGGCATGGTAACCAATGTCATAAGCCACTATCGTACCTTTGGGACCCTGAAGATGCGACGTATCACTCCCAAGTTCGGTCACCTACCGAAAGTGACTACTGTGGCGTGTGTTAGCGAATACATGCCACTTGATATCACGTTGACAATACGCTAGATGATTCGAGAAGAGCTCACTTGACATGCTCGCCCAACGCCGTATCAAGCTACACCCGTGCCGCTTCCCTCTTGCTAGTTTGTGTCAATTGTCGCAAGAGGCCTCGATAACTACAAGTACAGGCCATCATCACCACCAAGGGCACAGCTCAATAACTACCCGCTGCCGAGGTACGAAGACTCTTTCAGTTATCCCCGCAAGCTGGCCAACACCTATCACAACCCGAATGAAGATGTATCTGTGCCACCTCCACGTCAACATAATGCCTTCCAGGAGTACAATGCATACCCCCAAGCCCCTGTGCACTACCGTCCCGGTATCGCCGGGCATATAGCTTGGTTCTGTCGTTGACAGAAAGAGCCGATATTACGATATGATTCCTCATAAGCGTTTCCTCCAGCTGGGACTGGTCACGACAACGATCATTGGCCCGCCCATTCCAGGAGTACCTCATGACGAGGAGAATCCCCGTGGCAGTTCTCCCACTTCGGAACCGTAGTTTGACGCCTCCCTCTGGCCGACTGCATCACTCCTCTTCATCGGGACATCTGTCATCACCACCGCCGCCAGGAAACTAGTCCAGTGCGACTGATGGAGGTGAGGTCACACAACAGGATTCGCCTCAGATGCCTCCGCCAGTTATAATGTCCATGAAAAAGATATGTGGGTGAACAGATGGCTTTTGTACAAGCGCTTTGGTGGAAACTGGCACCACCATATCAATCATGAGTCTTTTGAAAATCGCATTGGCCGCAAAGGTATGTTTTCTTGGGGCAAATCAACATGATTTTGTGGCATTGGGGAGAGGGGGGGAGTACTCTATCCTCCCGGAGTTTGTGCCATCAACGTCTTATTGGCAGGAAAGGTGTTCCCAAAAGAGTTTCTTGTACTGAAGCATTGTATCTATGATATCATTCTCGGTCATGACTTTCTCTTAGGGTGTGGTGCTTTCGTCGACTGGGGCACTGGTGAACTTTCCGTCAGCAGTGACATTGTTCCTGCCCTCGCCGATGAGTCACAGCAGGCCATGGAGGATGCTCTGATTATTTTCGTTGAATTGACAGTGCCATTGTGGTCAATGAAGTCAGTTGTCATATTCGCCTCAATATCTGCGACATCTTTTGACGCCGTCATTGAACCTGCCATCGTTCAATGTGCAAAGAAAGGCATACTCGTGTCTCTTTGCGGTCTTATGTGCAGCAGACATTACACCACCTGTTGAGATGACACGCTTCTGTGTTTAATTTTTGCCAAGAGGAGATGTCACTGTCTGGTATCTGTTGATGAAGGGGCAACCTATCTGTGGGCACTGAACTGTTCGCCAGTACCGCTTATGCTCCCTCGGGAAAAGAAGCTTCTATCGAAATAAGATTCTATTGCGGTCATTAGGAACGATGAAAGCGAAAAAAGTACAGTCTTTTGCGTGCACAATTGCTGTTCGGAGTCGCAAATCGTAGGCATGATTAACGCCACTTTGCGGTCTTATGTGCAGCAGACATTGCACCACCTGTTGAGATGACACGCTTCTGTGTTTAATTTTTGCCAAGAGGAGATGCCACTGCCTTTACCATGTTCTCGCCCTCAGCTTAGGATTGACACCAGCACTCCTCATTCAATCCGGCGAAACCTTACCCAGTGTCGTCATCAGATCGCAAAGTTATCGCCGCCGACCAGGTTCGGGAAATGCTGAAAAAGGGTGTCATGGAAGAGTCGTGTAACCTGTGCGCACCACCTGTCATCTAGATTAAAAATAAAGATGGTTCCTAGCAGTTTTGCATTGATTACAGAAGACTCAATGCCATTACCAAAAAGGATGAATATCTGCTGCCTCGTATTGGCGATGCAATTGACTGCTTACATTTGGCTTCGTACTTTTCTTGAGTAGACCTACGATTAAGATATTGGCAGATACCTATGCACCCTTCAGACAAGGAGAAGACCGCATTCGGGATGCTTGATGGGCTGTACCAA